GGTAGAGGTCTATAAAATCATGACTGGTGTGGAGAAAGTAAATAAGGAAGTTTTATTTATTCCTTCTCCTAACACAAGAACTAGGGGTCACCAAATGAAATTAATAGGCAGCAGGTTTAAAATGAACACACAACATACAGCCAACCTGTGGAACTCCATTGTGAAGGCCAAAACTGTAACAGGGTTAAAAAAAGAACTAGATAAATTCATGGGGGATAGGTCCCTCAGTGTTGGTGTTGGTCCTGCTTTTAAGCAGGGGGTTGGACTAGATGACCTCCTGAGATCTCTTCCAACCCTAATCTTCTATGATTCTATGATAATGGCTATTAGTCAGGATGGGCAGGGATGGTGTCCCTAGGCTCTGTTTGTCAGAAGCTGGAAATTGGAGACAGGGATAGATCACTCAATGGTTGCCTGGTCTGTTTGTTCCCTCTGAAGCACCTGGCATTGGCCACTGTCAGTAGACAGGATACTGAGCTAGATCACATCTGATCTGACTGAGAATGGCAATTCTTATGACAGATTGTAACCATTTTGACACAGATTACATCAATAGTTTGACCTCTTGAGCTGTGCAAAAACAAACAAACAAAAACATTTTTAAATGACTATTTTATTCCAGGGCTTATATCTCTGCAAATCTCAGTTCAACTGACTCCAAATCTGGATCACTAACACTACCCTGAACCTTTCTGAGGAATATCAAAGGAATCCAACTAAACATGTTGATGTTAGGGATCTTGGAAAGATTGACCTTCAAATAGTAATCATGATGCAACAGTAGCTATAATGGTGCATCCATGCCAGACTAATATTCATAAGTTTATTTATTGGCTTGGAACACATTGTGCAGATTGCTGTCTATTAATAAAGATCTTGGACCATTCCATGAGTATTAAAATGGGAGAGTGGTACTGAGCTGTGAGGATTTTAGATACAGGAAAAAAATATAAAGAGGGGCATCATTGTACAGATATTCAGCTGATTTAAACTAGCATGTCTCCACAGCACTGTGCCAATATGCACCAGCTGAGGACGCAGCCTAACTTACTTAATGGAGCTATGGCTGATTAACACCAGCTCGGGATCTGGCCCTTCATATTTCTCTGACATAGCTATAACCAGAGTGAATTCAATATTTTTAAAGTATCATGCAGCATTGCACCTGCACCAGAATGAGCTCATTTTATGTGTTTTCTATAGAGAGAGGAAAATATAATTGCTGAGAAAGAAAGAAAGAAAGAAAGAAAGAAAGAAAGAAAGAAAGAAAGAAAGAAAGAAAGAAAGAAAGA